ATAAGCTTATTTACTATTTGCTATATCTAACCTTTATTTGTAAGTGTTTTATTTAAACTCTTTGGCTTATTTAATCAGTATCTATATAATTCTAACTATTTTGCTTTAAGACAAATAATCTTGTATTGTCTTATATTAAGAACTGTCTAGGTTTGCCTTATTTTTTTTGTACTAATACCTAAATTGTAACATATTTTAGAGCTTTTTATCTACTAATAAGGCTTAGAGGACCTTATATTAATTTTATCTATTTTGTTTACAGACCTTAACAAAGCTATATTTTTGCTAAGTTTATCTAAACTTTAGTATTATTTTATAATATATTCTTAATACTTTAATATGTCTCTGTTTCTGTATTCAAACTTCTAATTCAGATAGTTTAATAAAACTATAACCAGTTTATTAATATATTAAATTAGTTTAATATTCTTTTTTTTAGTCTTTTAGTTAAAATTCTAGTAATCAGATTAGTAATATTTCTATTTAAAAGTTTTTGCTATCTGATTTCTTTATATTAGTATTTGTTTTTTAGGTTTAGTCTTTATAGTAGTATTATTAAGAATCTGTATTATCTTTTTGTTTAGGTTTTTTTAAATAAGCTTCTTGTTTTTCAGTTTTTATAAATTTATATAATTACAAGAATTTATCTTGAATTTATATTATCTAATACTAGTTTGTATTTCTTTGTATAATTAGTTATATAGATGTTTTATAATTTACTAGTTAAAGAAGTATAGTGATCTAGTAAAGTAGATAGATTGTCAACTTCTAAGTAGCAGGTCTAGAGTTCAAATCCCAGTAATGATAAAAATTTGCAATTTTTTCTGTATTATAATTAACTGTCTTCTGTGATTAGTTGGAATAAGATACTTGTAATCTGTATTATACTAGCATAACTGGAAGGTTTAGGCACTTGTACAATATTGTATAAAGAAATACAAACTGATACTAGGTAATATGAACTCAAGATAAGTTCTTAGACTATGTAAATTACAGGAACCAGATAGAAAGACAGAAGCCTACTTAAAAGATCTAAGTAGAAAGATAATCTGAATTTTTAATGATGTTACTATAAAGACTAGACTTATAAAACAGAGCTAGAACTTGTAAAATTAGGAAAATATGTTGGTTTTTGAGAAGGGACTGGATGAACTAATTAGGTTATCAGAATTTCTGGATTTTAGAAGTAAAAGATACATGCTAACAAATATATAAACCAGAGATATAATTATAATCTATCTTTTTAGGTTATCTAAAATAGTGTTGGCAAATAACCTAAGTTATAACATTTTTTAATATGACTTTAGTCATATAATCATATAACTTGTCATAGATCATATATATAGGTCATATTAAATAATAATAAAAAAAATTTTTGCTATAAATTTTTCTATATTAAAAAGTCATAAGTCATATTAATATTTATTATAACTAAATAACTTATAACAGGTCATAAAGATCATATAGGTCATTTAAGATCATTTGCCAACACTGATCTAGAATGACAGCTTTATGAAACTTGAATTAAATGCCAAAGTAGTAAGGATATATTGTAAAATCAATACTAGAATTAAGATGAATTCTACAAAGGCATAGTAGTTTAATAATATGTCCTGACTATTAGTATTGGTCTTAGCCATAGCGATACTAGGTTAGTTGTAAGAATAAGATATAGAAGATTCTGAAAGGTTTAGTACAAGATCAAAGGTTCCAAAGAACTGGTTTAAAGACTTAGTAACTATGGCATATTTTCATCAACATCAGCTAGGATTATTGGTAGACAGAGGTAGATGAATGAATATGAAAACTAGAATAGTTAAATAGGGAACCTACAAGCAGGTTCCAGGTATAGCAGCTAGTGTAGAACCTTCAGATAGACTACTTAAATTAGACAATGACTAATGTTGCACAAGTAACTAGTTGTATACTCTTTCTATAATTGCTTCTTGTAGTTGTAATATAACTATTAGCCAAATATACTATTAATAAAATCCTAAGTCACAAGTACTCATCTTAATATTTTAAAAAAAATAATAATAATTTATTAATTATACTAATGTAACTATAATTATAGATATTTTAATCTAATTATTAAAAACAATTGTTATAATACAAATAAAAATCTAAATTTTTATTATTAGTAGAGTTTAAACTCCTAATCTGTTACTTGAAAAGATGCCAATTTGTTTACTTCACTAAGTTATTATATTTTTATATAAGAGAATATTAATAACTGATATTATATAAAACTTTAATGCAAATTTATAATAAAATTACTAGAAGCAAAGAATTAAAAAATTAAAAAAACAAAAACATACTTGAAAATTCTAAATAAAGAGTTAATATAAAATTTTGACAATATTATCAAACTGATAAAAGTTTATAAATGCTTTTTAAAAGATCTTCTAGAAATTAAATAACAAGATATATAATAAAACATATAATCAACTAGGGTACTAAATTTTATTAGAGGAAAAAAATACTATACTGTATATATTATACTGAATTATTTGAATTAGTAGTTTGGTAAAGTCTAGTTAGTATTAAGTAAAAATATAAGTAAAAAATAATAAAGAAAAGATAAAAAAATAGGTATTGGGGTTTAAGTAAACTTTACAAAAATAAAAATAATAAAATATAATAATTTAATACATATTTGTGACTACAAGTATTAGTTCTACTATAGTATATTGCATAAAACTAGGTTAGCTATATATAAAATATGAAAGACTCTAGTAACAATATTTTTGAGAATATATTGCATGAAATAAGATAGATGTTCTAAGAATACAGCTAAGTATCTAGAACTTTATTACTAACATGTGTATTGAAGATGTTTTAATAACACAGTAAAAATTACATTATAGAAGGTTTAATAGACAATACTTGTAATTGGATTGCAGATATGGCAATTAGTATAGAACTATAAACAGACTACTTAAATTAGACACCAAAAGTGTACATATAACTGGTTGTACTCTCTAATATAAAGATAACTCCATTGAGGCTTCAACCATAAGTTCCTATATCTAAAAATACTGAATAAAAAATATCAGCCTCTAAAAAGACTAATTTAATATAAAAATAATCAATGTGAATTGTAAATTGCAAATTGTTACTTGACATATAACAATATAATAATTTAATATAATACACATTATATTTTAATTCTAAAATGACTTATATTATTACTAAACTAATATGAATTTCAAAATGACATATTATATAACAAATTAATTTTTTTCTTATATGTAAAAGTTTAAAAACTATAAAAACACAAATCACTATTAAAAATTTTTTAATTAAATATTTTAAATTTAAAAAAATAACTATATAACAAATATATATAATAATTTTTTAATATATTTGTTAAAAAGATTTACAAATTTTAAAAAAACCATATATCTGTATTATTTATTATTTAACATGATTTAATTGGGTAAAAAAAATAGATATATAAGCATGCCACATAGACGCGAAATAATGTTCATAAGTTTCAAATTATAAAGCACGTCTATAAACAATGATACTTAGTATAATATGTAATAATTAGATTCAAAATTTGACCTTTTATTTCGAAATAACGCATATTAGCATCTCGAAATAATGCGCAATCGCATTTTTTCACGATTATAAGGCAGACTTAAAAATGTGATAAGATACTTAGACGCATTAGATCAGGTATCATTTATGTAACAGGTATAATAAATTATGTATCTTGCAATGACAATATATCGAAAGCCGCTACCAAATAAGAAAGAAAAAGGATTAATTTATCAAAATTAAACCTTTTTATACCAGAATACTATGTCATGTACTTTTACTTTTCGTTATTGAGCTGAAATAAATTCTTGGGTGCAATTATTCGGATCATAACGTACGTTATATATTTGCAAAAAAAAAAATCAACAGGAAATCAAAACACTACCATACTTACGAAATAATGTACAAGTATAAAAATAACTGTAATATTAGCAAATGTAAATAAACATGTATAATAACAAGCCCAAATATAAGTTTGTAGCGATAAAGTATTTTACATTTCCGTTTTAACTAAAAATTTAACCATATCGGATCTTTGATTTTAAGTATCCCAAACCTAAAATTTCAGTCTAACGCAATTTAATTTAAACTCTAATTTAACACATATATTTGCATATAAACAATTCTTTTTTTAACTAATAGGTTAATTATATATCTGTATAATATAACGCTATATAGTTAAATAATTATATAAGATTATTTCTACTTAGAGCATCTAATTTGTAGTAAGAATCATACGATTTTACATTATGAATCAATGAATTAATTACCGACGCTCATTTCGTTCACCGACCGACAAACCTAAGCTTAATTCACCGACCGACAAACCCTAAGCTTAGTTCACCGACAATTAATTCACCGACAAGCTTAATTCAGAAAATTAATTCACCGACAAGCTTAGTTCGCTGACAATTAATTCACCGACAAGCTTAATTCAGACAATTAATTCACCGACAAGCTAAATTCAGACAATTAATTCACCGAAAAGCTTAATTTAATCTTAAACCCAACCCTAACAATAATGATTATGTACTTTGTCAGTAAATAACTAAGCTTGTCTGTGAATTACAGCTGTTTTCATAAATTCTGAGACACCTAAAAACTTGTTCGTTTCCTGATATCTCTTCGATCTTGTTTTTAAGAATCACATAACGATAATTTTTCTTGTTATTGATAGAAATCTTATGACCAATTTACGCAAAATGGTTTCTTTGAACAATTTTGAATAAATAACAAGAACTGGTAGAATTAATTGGTATATATAGCAGAACCATTTTATTGTTTAAAAACTTAATAGCGAGCCTTAATTTAATCATAAATTTTCATATAAATAAATCTTAACATATCTTAAAATACATAATAATTGTTTTATATATTTTTCCATATTTTACACACACATATATACATATATAATATATATAAAATGCGATTTAGATTCGAAAATGCTGTACTTGCAATCAAGTGAATTGTTGATAAAGATCGCTTTGTTGCTGAATATAAACATCATAAAACGGGTTCGGATATTCATGGCTATTAAAAATAGCACCGGGGATACCAACGCATTCAACCATAGGTGAAATTTCTCTATCCTCGTTGAATTTATGTTGATAACTGGTATCATGACCGGTGGTCTCATAAGCTAAGTCAGTAATAGGATTTGTAAAAAATGGTGATGTGCCTTCGATATTTGGAGATGTTAAAGGAGTTATATCAGGAGTTGGATTAGAGATTGAATCAGAAGTTGAATCAGATGTTTGATCGGAGTTTGGAATGAATTCATAAAATACGTATTGTTGAGAAGAATAATCTGGAGTAGTCAGTTTAAAGTTTGCTAAGGGAGTTTTTTTTTGTTTTCTTTTTTTTCTTTGTTTTCGTGAAGAAAGTTCGTGAATTTTTGAATTTTTCCAGACTACTCTACGAAAAGATACATTCCTTTGACGTTTGTTATTTAACTCGACCTCAACTTGCTTAGAAAGTTTCCTATATTCTATAAAATGGATAGATTTTAAAATAAATAAAAAATTTTTTTAAGAGAAAAACTGAAACAAAGTTTTTTTTTTTTTTTAAAAAAAAAAAAAATACCATCTTTAACGATCTCAGGTTCGTTTCTCCAACAAATTCCAACTAACTTAGAGACATCGGTCATTTTAAGATCATGATAAGTATCGGAAAGATGGTCTAAAAAGGCTTTACGATAAATAAAGAATGCGTTGGGACTTTTCATCGTCAATTGTGAAGAATTTCTTCTATCGACAATGTCGGCGGCTGTAATGGTAGGGGGGAACGGTAGGTTAATCGGTGGGGTGAATGTAGAGAAATTGGGTGTAGGGTATCTTCTCGAAGTAGTTACGTGCACTGTAAATTGAGAGGACATGTTGAGAAATGACAACGTATATACGTATGCCTAATATACGTATAGATAGAAGAAAATTAAGGATAGGGATATTTATCACCGATGGAAATCAGTGAATAATAGAAGGGTTTTTATGGATTATCGAATATTCCGCAGTCACTTTTGGATTGCACAAATAATTTAAGCATGTATACAAAGTTTATTTTGATAGCTATTGTTAGAGACATAAAGTAATTCAAAATGCTAGTAGTGAAGAATTTAAGCTTAATATATTGCCGGCCGAATGATCATGAAATCGAGGACAAGAAAATGGTTCATAATAAATCAATTTTAAAAATTTGTAGTTGCATTGTTAGCCATGGGTCGCGCTTGCGTAACAAAATCATTTGTTTGCTTTTTTAGGAGGGTTTTTTTTTTTTCGACTATATCACACCACTCATGGCTTGTAAAGTTGATAGGCGCTGATCACTAGAATTGTGGCATGATCAATTCATAATTTCTTAATTTGGGGATCCGTTAAAGCTAGGTACATTCATATAATGATCTACATACTGCATAAATTGTATTCCTGATATCTATATAACCCGCTAACCGTAACTGCATCAAAAAAGTAACCTTAACTGGTACCTGGTTTTCACGTTCCCCTAATTTGGTATTTGCACACGGATATGATCGAAAATACCTTATCGTTATACATACAAGAGTGGTGTAAAGTTTTGATCATAATTATAGTATTCACATTGATATAGATATTTTAGGGTCATAAAAATTGGAACGTACATGATAATTTCATTAAACATCGGTTTTTTTTTTTTTTGATCTTCTTTAGTATAGGTTGGCATATATAGATTATTACAATATTACAATATAAAACTTGACTAATTTGCGCCAATTTAAATTCTAACTTAAACCCAGACTCTAATTATTTAAAATAGCTATATAATAATTATATATGCTCATCTATATACTAAAGATCAACCTTTTGGGGGGGGGGGGTTAATATAAATGTAATATATATAATATATATAATATATATTGTCTGAATAAATGCATAAATGCGCCAATTCCAATATGGTACAATATGTTTGTAGACCAAGAGAAACATTAAACATCATATTGATTCAATCTAATTTGTACAGATGTGTACTTTTTTAAGTACCTTATTAACAAGATACACAAATATTATATTTTGGATCCACGAAGATGACTGATTATCATTAATATGACCCAAAATGTTGTCGCGAATACAGGAATATTCTTCTGACAATCCGTTCAATGAAAATATTCATGTATAATTATCTTTATAAACCTATTTTAATCTCTATTTATCCTAGATGTAAACACACTGCTTGTTTTTCGAAAAGGTTATTGACTCATCGAATTAAAAAAAAAAAAAAAAAAAAAACAAAGCCGCCATCTATCTCATTCATTTTATATGGAAAAGGAAACTACAAGCAATGTATTTATAATCGTGTATTTTGATGTACAAGAAGATAGTTGATCTTATTCTTGAAAAGCCCGAATCTTTGTTCAATGTTACTCAAGTCGCGTCCAATGCTACTTAATTTATGAAATCCTTGACTAAAAACGAATATTAAGATGAAATGATGATTTGTTCAAAGCTGTGATTCGTAATACGATCATTCAAATAAAAAAAAAAAAAAAAAGAATTCGGTGATAGCAATGAATGCATCGCACATATCATACATGCACACAATGATGGATAAGCAAACAAATTGCTTATCAGAATGCATAAATATTTATTTTGATAATGCTTATTACTGATTAATCGATAAGATTAAATATTTTAAAGTGTTATAACTGGGCTCGTTGGAAAAAGACACAAGATCTAGTGACAATAAGGCCTCAATATCTTATTATAGTAATGATCTTGATATCATACAGCCAGTCTGGTCATCAAAATAGCTTAGTAATAATGGGACAGCCAGCTTTTTCCGATAGGCTTTGAATTCATAGAAAACACATTTTTATACCGTATATGATAACTGAATGCTTATGTTTATTATATAAAATGGTTACATTAGCTTGATCTTCTCTGGCTTTTACACTTTCCATTTCTGTTTCAATATGTTGTCCTTTTATGCTCAACAAATGTAAAAGAGGTATCATTTTTTTGCTAAAATAATTGCTTAAATTACAAAAATGGAGATATTTGGTCTAAAGCTCATTTCGCGTGATCAGAAAACCGTACTACGCCACACAAACCACAAAATAAAAAATTACGATGGTATCACAAATGCTTTACTTTTATGGTCGATTGCATATATGCGCTACTGTTTCACTTTTTATACATTTTATTGATTCTATCACGCGTCACATTGTGCACATGATGCTTAACGTATCAACTACTAACCAACATTTATATTCGCTATCACACATGAGTGTTACTAACTTGGAGACAAGCTCTTTTCTGATTTAAAATTAACAAAATTGAAAGACAATAGAACTGTTTATGATAATTTCCGATTAAATTTACTAATTATAATAATTCAAAGAAGTGGATCGTATAGTATCAATATCATTCGAATCCACTCAGAATTATCATAATTTTGTTATTAATTCGTGTAATATACACTTGGCTATTGTTTTATAAGAATTTGTTTAAAAAATGTATACGTGGGATAGGGTTGTTCATTGTACAAAATTAAATATTCATTTGGAATTACTATATATAATCTGTTTAATTCTGATAGTTGAGGTTTTTGGGGATAAATCTTGCATAAACACAAATGTATCGAATTTAAAAGTGTGTGCCCTAGTATACAAAAATATGACTTCAATGGAAGGAAAGTGACATTAACATAAACACACGAACAAAAAGAAAAATTAACCTTTTGTTTCCTTCAATTATATTATCACGTGACAAATATGATATAATATATAAATGGATTTTCTCCAATTATTGGCAAGTAGAAGTTTCGTATTGTAATAAAATAACAGTCAAAGTTCAATGTGGTTGACTCTCCTCAATTATCAATCAAGACAAATATCTTTTGGAGATTCGTGTCTTAATAATCTCAAAGTTTCATTATTTTATTACCAAGTTAATGGAGGTATGAATATTCTACCGAACTTTATTAATTGGCATATTTACTACGTGGGTGGTTTGAAAAACATACAACTAGTGATGTGCCACGTATAGTACAGTACGCATAAAAAACTTTTAGAACATTCTAGAACAAAATATCCTATCTCAAAATTTTGATATAAATGTTACGCGTATTTATGTGTATTATGTATGCTATACACTATACAACTATACGTACTGTACGCGAAAAAAATTCTGTTATCATATAAATGGCACATCTATACATACAACTACAATGACTTAAAGATTTAACGGGAAACCACAATAGATTTACTTATTCGCACGAATAAATGCCAACACCTAAAAAGGGAATTCAATATAAAATAAGCAAAGTAGAAATTTAAGGTTGAATGTTATATTAAAGGCAATAAAAATAAATTATCATCAAAGTATATAGAAAATTGCGTTTTTGTAATTGATAATTAGTACGATTTAACATTGGTTTTCTAATATTCCCGCTCTTTTCTATTTCTTTTTTCGAATTCATGGGATGATCCCGGAATAATCAAATTTGTAGGCTATTCCTTTTTTGGAAATAAGCTAAAGCCGGGTACAGTAATTTGTATTAATCACGTGCTTTTTGATTTAATTGTTACATATAATGTTTATCGAGACGATCATCGCCTGTTTTGTTTGTAACGTAAATAAAGCCTTATCAGCAGGTCAAGAAATTTTTTTGTTAGAACGTAAAAGATAATATCATAAGCGAATTCTTTTGTAGCATTTAATGAGTCACGTAATTTTTAATTCACAATTGACTAAAATTAATAATTTCCTGATCTCCTTATTTGGGCGGTCCCTTATGTAGAGTCAATGGTAAGTTCTCTAACAAATCTTAGATAACCATTTGGATTGCCTACTACATAAATTGACAGGTAAGATGATATCTAAAGGGTAACCAATAGGCATCCATATTACTTCATCTTGCTATTAATAGGCATCAATCAGAATAATATTACTTTGACTAATATTCTTTTAGCCTTTTGGTGCCAAAATCTGGCAGCAACAGGGATGTTTATTGGTACCTTAGGCCAGACCAAATTTAATTCTTCGTTTAACATAACCTTCCTATTTTTTAAGATTTATATGAAAAAAACCAGTATATTAACCAATTAAATTGCAATATTAGTGTTTGCAATCTTTATATTTTTTACAGCCAATAGAATCACTGTATTTTATTAATTTATGAGCTATTTTATGCTATGTTAAACAGAAAATCAATTTGGTGTGGCCTTATTAGATTTTATATCACTCTACCTGTGCCACTTAAATTGTATTTGATCCGACCAGTGTTTAATACAAAAATCATTATATGAATTTCTAACTTTTTTGTCCGAAAACTAACAGATTAACTATATTTCTTTGAAGTAAAAAATCCTGAATGTCGGTCGTATCGAGAGTGTAACGGTAACAATAATACAACCTTTAATTATCCAATAAAATGAAATTCTATTATATTTACCACAATAAACTTACATGTCTCAATGGTGCTCTACTGTTTTAATGTCGTAATTATACTATTAAAATAACCTAGATATATTATGTAAGAAAACGGAATCTTGAAACCAGGATTCCGAATGAATCTATGTATCTTAGTCTTACAATTTCTGTTCTTTCTAGGCGATCTCATGTGCCATTTGTGCACCTGAACGCTGTGCACAATTATACATAATTATACAATAAGGAAAACCTAATGTCTTTGTTATTTTTAATATAATCAAAAGACAACAATGACTCTCAATTTTTCTAAATAATTTATACATTGTAATATACTTTTCAAAAAGTAATAGGCTGTTAATCATTACCGCTATTGGTAAAATTTTTTGTTGTCAATCATTACTTATAAAATTAAATATAATAACTTTTCTATAAATACTATTCTATAGATAATAACAGCATGCGATCGCGTTAC